ATGGATTGGTTAAGTTCTCATCGTGCCGACATTCTATGTTACGAAAGGGCCGTTCGCCTCAATCTGCCAAGTGCGAAACCCTTCTCGTTTACGGCGATAAACCCAGTGCAAACTGGCAAATCATCTGTTGCGTCAAGGCTCAAAAGTATCTCCGAAAGGAATATCGCGCCTTCTTAGCCCACGTGATAGATAAGAAACAAGATGCGAAGGACATCAAAGACATTCCAGAGTTGTGTGATTTTCCCGACTTATTCCCAGAAGGCCTCCCAGGTGTACCACTTGCACGACAAGTCGAATTCCGAATCGATTTGGTCCCAGGAGCTACCCCCGTAGCCAAAGCTCCATACCATCTCGCACCGACGGAAATGCAAGAGCTGTCCAGCCAACTGAATGAGCTGCTGAGCAAAGGGTTTATCAGACCGAGCTTTTCACCTTGGGGAGCACCAGTTCTCTTTGTGAAGAAGAAGGATGGATCCTTTCGCATGTGCATCGACTATCGGGAGTTAAACAAACTTACCATCAAGAATTAATATCCCTTACCCCGAATCGACGACCTCTTCGACCAACTACAGGGAGCAAGCTACTTTTCAAAAATTGATCTGAGGTCGGGTTACCATCAACTACGAGTTCAAGAAGAAGATATCCCCAAGACAGTCTTCAGAACTCGCTATGGGCACTACGAGTTTGTAGTGATGCCCTTCGGGTTAACAAACGCACCTGCGGTATTCATGGACCTGATGAATCGAGTGTGTCGACCCTACTTAGACAAGTTCGTGATCGTATTCATCGACGGCATTTTGGTCTACTCATGAAGCGAGAAAGAGCACCGCCAACACCTGCGACAAGTGTTAGAGACATTGAGAGCTGAGAAGCTTTATGCCAAATTCTCTAAGTGCGAATACTAGATCCGAGAAGTGGATTTCCTTGGTCATGTGGTCAGTGAAAGAGGGATACATGTGGACCCCTCCAAAATCAAGGCAATCGAGAACTGGTCAACACCTACAACACCGACGAAAATCCGATAATTCTTAGGGCTTGCTGGATACTACCGAAGATTTATCCAAAACTTCTCCAAGATCACTAAACCACTCACCACCTTGACTAAAAAAGGTGTGATGCTTAAATGGGAAGATAAACAAGAAGCTGCCTTCCAAACGTTAAAACAAGCCCTGTGCAGCGCACCAATCCTGTCTCTGCCAGAAACGACCGAAGACTTTGTAGTCTACTGCGACGCATCAAACCAGGGGCTTGGGTGTGTATTAATGCAGCGAGGAAAGGTCATTGCCTACGCATCGAGGCAATTGAAAACACACGAGGTCAACTACGCCACACACGACCTCGAATTGGGAGCAGTAGTGTTCGCCCTAAAGATCTGGAGGCACTTAATGGAAGAAAGTTCTTAATCTATTTGTACGTTGGGTGTAAGTTAGAGTACGCCGCGCGTACAGCTCATGCACTCAGTATGCTACGCGTACCAGGGTGGTACGCAAGGCGTACGCACCTCAGAATGGGTAGATTTTGGGCCTAGTCACGTTTTGGAGTTAGTGGGCTAGCTTATCTGTTTGGGCCATGGATACTATGCTTGGGCTTTATTGGGCCATGAGCCCCATTAATGATTTTGGACATGGACTTTGGGCCCATTAGCAAAGGAAGACTTTTTAGGCCACTATGAAAGGACTTGGGGTTTGGGTTCTTCAATTGGATTGTGTTCAGTCCTAACCTTGGGTAATCTTATTATTGTTCAGCATGGGTGGTTACAGACTGTTAGGAGAGTAGCTTTCGGATTTAGCGGACAAAGGTGAGTCTCCTCACCATACCAATGGGTCTAAGGCACCAAGGTCGGCCCATTTTCTGTTATGTGGTACACTAGCTGAAGTTATATTATGTGGCATGATAGTTGGTTATGTGCTAGGAAGTATGCTAGTTGTATATGTGGTATGCTTGTATGGAAGACCATGTGAGAGCCCATGGCAGCTCGATGTAAGACCATGTGGAGAGCCCATGGCTTTCCTACTAAAGACCATAGGAGAGCCCATGGCAACCGGATGTAAGACCACGTGGAGAGCCCATGGCTTTCCTATTAAAGACCATGGGAGAGCCCACGACACTTAGATGTAAGACCAAGTGGGGAGCCCATGGCATCCTGGAGTAAGACCTTGGGGACGAGCCCACGACATCCCTATATGTTTGTATGCATGGCTATTGTGATATATGTAGCTTTTATAGCTAATATGAATATGTGTTTATATGGATTATGTGGGGTATGCTTTGGGGAACTCACTAATTATTAGCTTACAGTTTGTGGATTTGTTTCAGGTACATTTGAGCCCATGGGCAAAGGCAATGTTTGATGACACGTCGTGCACTCTCTCTCAAGCGTTTTTATGGGATACTCTGTTGTTTTTAAATAAAATTGTAATTGATATGAATTTTGAAAAAAATTGTATTTGAGATTTCATGGTTTGTGGAAAGAATTTAGGGTAATTAAAAATGAAAATTTGTTTTGAAAAATTGGGTCGTTACATATGTTCTCCCAGCTGAGAAAAAAAGATATTGACCTTCAATATTTTTTTCCCAATTTGAGTTAGAGATGGGACTGCTACTTCTTTTTAGCATGACGTGTGGAGGGGCGACGTGCCTTTGTCTTCTATCTTCCCTAGAGTTTATGTTCTGGATTTGCACAGACACGTTCTATTAGTGACATGCTGCCTATGGGATTAGGGTTTAATACCTTTAGACGTATTCCTAGAGGAGGAGTAGAGCAGGAGCAATGGGACAACTTTATTTTACTTTTGTAGGATTTTCGTTTTCAATCGATTCTAGATAGACTGGGTTAGGTTATCGATACATCAGACACTTTTTCAGTTTCTTCAGCTTGGAGATATTTGGATGGTTTTATGCTCTTCACAGTTGGCCATGCTACTCGTCGGAATAATTGGATTCCAATTAAGATTAATATTCTTATTTGGAGAATTACACTTCTAGCATCCCTACTAGAGAGCGATTATCTCATAGGGGTATCTTGGTGAATTACATTCTTTGTCCCATTTGTTCTTCTAGGTTAGAGACTATTGATCATATTTTTGTAGAGTGTACTGATTTGATTGCTTTTTGGTCCCGTATTGTTGTTTGGTGGGGTGGTAATCTTCGTTCTCATATTATAGTGGACTCTCTTATCAATTATCAATTGGGTGGCGTCTTCTTTTTGGAGAATCGGCAAGCGTAAAGCTTTCGATGCAGTGATCTTGACCTCGTTTTGGTGCATTTGGAATTTCAGAAATGCAATGATTTTTGGAGCTGCCAATCCTAGGAAACCCTTGATTTTTGAGGATGTTGTTTATAAGTCTTTTTTTTTTGGATTTCGAATTGGTGTACAAAAGCCATATTTAGTTGGTCTTCTTGGCTTCATAATCCTATTTCAGCAACTATTTTGATGTAATTCTTTTTCTAGCTTGTTGCTAGTTTTAATAATATTCTACGGTGCCAAAAAAAACATCTAACCGTTAGTAACATATTTATAAATTTTTTTGTATACAATATCAAGTTAGGAACTTACCTACACTTTCACGACTTGATAACATTAAATTTTTATTTTTTTTATCAATAATAACAGTATTAAATAAAAATAAAAAAAAGTAATAAACTCATATTAATTGATAAGGAGAACTACATTACTGTTTTTTAATACGAATATAAATATGTTCGATTATAAAAAAAAAAAGTATATTACAACTGCGGTTAAAAATATCAGAAACGTCTTGCATTCTTCTTTCCGTACAATTCCCAATTCTCCGTTTTTTGGTGCTTGATCTTTGGCATCAATTTCTTTCTTCCACGATGGGTTTAATCAATACTAGTGGTGGAGGGAAGGGATGGAATCCCATTCTTCCTTCCTGTATACTAAAGAACAAATTGTCCTTACAAATCGAACACCCACATCCATCACACATGAGTGTTTGCATCTCTTCACTGCTGTTTATCATTGATTGCTTTTCAGCTTTCTCGCGTCATTTTTCTCCTTGGTTGAATCAGGTATCATCTCTGTCTATCTCCTTATTTGTGATCAGTGATTTGCAAACTTATTTGGATATTGAAAGTCTACAGAGATTAAAGATTAAAGCCTAATTTCATCTAAGGACTAACCAGTGAATTAATAGTAGTGATAACAACTGTAGACAAGTTCAAAGTGCTGGAACCTTTCACTCGATTCCAACCAGCACTTGATTTCATCTGCTTTAATTTGTAAATTGGTCTCTTCAAATTGGCGCCAATATCTATCCTTAAAACACGTAACATTTCACTCTACTTCCATGCATATCCAATTACGTGATAATGATTATATATTTATGCAGAAATGTCACAAGAATACCCATACCCTTCTCACGTGCATGCAGCTAGCTTTGTTTCAGTCAAGCTGTCCAGTAAAACCAATTATTCTATGTGGGAGGAACAGATGATGTGCCTTCTGGAGAGCCACGATATGCTCGGTTTCATTGATGGAACAATAAAGAAAGAGAAGTATAGGGGATGGAATAGGTCGGACAAACTTGTCAAAGGATGGATTTTTGGTTCATTAAGTGAAGATGTGATGGCTACTGTTCTTGGCCTCGACACAGCCAACAACGTGTGGGAGAAGCTACGGACTACTTACAGTATTTATGCCTCTCCTAACACCACCAGAAACATAGGTATGACGTCAATATTGCTTACATGGTTCTTTTCTTTTTTGCTATTATATAATTAATATCCCCGTGAATTGTAGTGACTCTTTTTCTTATGGAAATAGATAAGACAGATCACCTCCCACTATGTAGAGCTATTATGAGGGGCGACTGGGAGGAAGCTGGAGAAATTTTTAACAGGGACAAAGATGCATTGACAGTTAAACTCAATGTTGAAGGCCATAGCGCACTCCACATTGCGATTGATGCATGTAAACATATCCAGTTTGTTGAGAATCTCCTGAAGGAGATAAACCCAGAATCTCTTCTAGCTTTGGTGACCTGTCATAAGGAAAATGCACTGCACCGTGCTGCAATGGTTGACAACGTCAAGGCTGCAAAGATGTTGGTGGAGAAAAACCCATATTTGTTATTCAGTCTTGACAATATGAACAACATGCCTATCCATAGAGCTATCATCGGTTCTCACGAAACCACATTTCAGTATATGCTTGATGCCTGTATGCGTCATATAACGCTTTCCCAAGAAGATGGATATCACAATCCCTTTGAGGGAAGACATGGTGTACGGCTTCTTACTAATGTAATCAATGCGGGGCTTTTGGGTGAGTCTTGAAATCCCTAATACATAGTTGGCTTGAAGTTAAGACATCAAGCCTTTGGGTGTATATATGTAGGGGAAATGCTTCTAGGACTTCAGCAAAAAACAAGAAATGTATCCCCCTTAATTTGGATCATATAATCAATTGTTAAATAGAATTTAAAGTATCCCGTACACATCTTTTCTATATTTACTTTCATTCTTAATGCTCTTTGCAGATGTTGCATACGATTTGATCAAGAAGTACCCTGTCATGGCTACGAAAAAGGTTGGGCCTTACATACCCTTGTTGTCTATTGCGAGAAAAGGGGACTTGTATTTTAGTGGAACCCGATACAACTTCTACCAAAAATTTGTTTATGCTAGTAGGTTTCTTCGCTTGCTATTAAATGATTTTGGTTTTCTTCTTACCATGACCTTTTTTCAGATAAAATTCTACTCTAATTCTTTACACCTAAAACACAATTTTACAACGGAAGTTGCACCTAAACGTTTATAACCTTGAATTTTATTTTGTTTGGATCGTCATGAAAATCTTTATTTGTGTTGATATCATGTACCTTTAACTTTGATTTTGCCTCCCTGGTGATGTTAACAAATAATTATTATTTTTGTTTAAAAGATCTACCAACAGGTAACAATGACTTAAGTGGTACAAACAAGATTCAAGATATTGAGAACCAAAACACTTATAATGGCAACTTTGAGACCAATGGCTGGAAGACCTACTTCTATTATGGTTTGTGATCTTAAAACTCTTAACAGTTGAATCATAAACAATAAACATGATTAACAAAAAAATATTTTTTTTTTTGGTTGACTTTGGTCTCCTTTCAAGCATGTATGTTCTCATTTATATCTTGCAGGCGTTTATTTTTATTAGGGATTTATATACACAAGTGATCACACATCTATTCGCCTCAACACACACTTAGAGCGTCCAAAATGCATAGTTTAATGAGAGAGTTGAGTGAGGTGGCATGCCTAATTGGCATTCAATGGATTAAACTCTATCATTGAGGGATGTCATG